TATATATATATATATATATATATATATATATATATACACGTAATTTTCTGACAAAGAGTATCCAGTTGGACACCCTGGGGACGTGGCTATAGCTCCGCCCCTGTTGGAGCCCTCTTAAATTAGAAAAGCAACTTAAAAATACAAACAAAAAAAACGTTGTAAACGATTCAAGATAGGAAAATTATTTGTGTGGACGTGGAAATATTAAGGGAGGAATGGCTAAATAGGCATATGAACATTAACCATGTGATATTTAGAAAAAGATATTATTTGAAATTCAGTTTAAAAAGGTGTAATAGGAAGTCAAAAATATATTTAAACATGTATTTAGTTTGAAAAAGAATCAAAATTTCGCGAAGGAAGAAGATTTTTCACCCGAAAATTATCAAAATTATTTTATAATTTGGAAGTTGAAACTAGCACATCTATAAGTTTTCTTTGGAAAAAAGTTCCACTGATAATACTATTTATTCCGTCCTAAAATAAGTGTTACCTAAACAAAAATATTATCTTAAGAGTTCAAAGTACTTTTTTCTGATTACGCTATTACACTTAATTTCCAATATATATATATAAAATGAATAGTTTAATAAATTATATATTATATTTATTAATTTCTTAATAAATACATATTATACTGACACTTATTTTTAGACACGAGGAAGTGGTGTACAATTAAAAGAAGAGAAATTAGCAAACTAGTCACAATTTCTAACATAATTATTAAAAATATCTACACTTTAAAATAATTATTACAAATATCAATATTTTAGAAAATAATTGTATCCTAATATAATTAAAATTCTTTCCTTTTATTTCTCAAATTAGACCCACATTGGACCTTTTAAATAATTGCAAATATCATTTATGAACAAATAAATAAATTGGTTTGAGTAGTAATACAGTCCTAATAAACTATTTTAATAATATAAAATATATTTTTTCAGAAGTAAATAAGTCTATTTTTACGAGATGCAAGTAGGGGTACTTACGATTTTAAATATTATCAATTCATAAATATATAAAATCAATAATAGAACTGATAGATATCATTTATCGATTATCATTGTTACCTGTTCGTTAAATTACATATTCTTAAAACAGGTGAAATGTTTTACATCTAGAGAATGGGAAAGAAATGCTAAAGTGTGACAAGTGTCAATATCCTAATGTGACACCTGTCCTGCAAATTCTAAATGGAATAATGGGCTGAGAAAATTTGTCTAAATATTCTATTAAAAATGTTGAAAGAACGTGAAGCCCGATGGAAACAGGTCCATTGAAGCTGGCTGACGAGTTAGAGTTAGAGTCATACTAGGATTAAATTATTAAAATTTAAGTTATGTACGATTAAGCTATTGTATAGGGTAGGAGTCGACTAGAATAATGTATTTAAGTTATAATATAATACTACTCATGTAAATACTTAACATTATTTTTATCATTACAATCCTTGATTTCTCCATATTTACGTGAGATTTCTACCAAAAAAAATATATATATGAAAGGGAAACTAGGTAAATATCCATAAATACAAACTAATTTATAAATATATACCCTTTACATTGATTCTCTTCTAATTTTTTTTTTTAATCGAAATTTTCAGGCCTTTTATTTATTAGTAAAGCTGAAGAAACATACAAAACAAACAGTACTCATTTGGTTTTTTTTTTTTCACCCACTCATTTGGTATCACTAAGGTTTCTTATTGACACCCTACTGATGATGTCTAAGTGCATTACTGTACTGCTGAGAAGTATTGATAAGTTCTAACAAACATTACTACATTAGTTTTTGTTCCTTGTGCATTACAAATCTACCGAAAATTGATAGAATTTCATTTATTCTCTATGTTTTATTCGACAGGAAAGCAAAATAAAGTTATTTCAGATCTTTAAACGAGATCTTTAAACTTAATTCCTTTCCTCTTTTAAATTTAATTCCAAACATTTGAGAAAAAGATGATGTTTGGCCAAAAAAAAAATTGTAATATTTTTAGTCCTCCAAAAACTGAATTTTTTAAAACCAAACGTAAGCTATTAGTTTGGTGGGAATGGAAAAAGAGAAAAAGGAAAAAGGTTTAGTAAAGTCCACAAATTAGTAAATCCTACCCCAGAAGTAAATAAAATATAGGTATTCCTAGGGTTGTGCAAAAACCGATTTATCCAATAAATTGAACCGAAAAAAACACTATTGGTTTATTGATATTGGGTTATTGGGCTAACGGCTTTTAAA